TCAGAACTCAGACCAAATGGGCTGTGTTCAATCCCTAGCATGTTTAGGAATTCACTCGCCACAGATTCAGTAACATCATCCAAGCTGAGTGACCTCCCTTTCTGACTTGATCTGTAACTTGTTTTAACTTCCATATAGTCTTCTTGGTCTTCAGGAGAATCTAGTGCTGCTGTCTCTAAATTTGATACAATCTCTAAAGCTGATTCCAATTCTTTCATCAATGTTTCTTTTGAAAATCCGGCATCCTCTTGAGAATGGAAATCATGCACCACATGTTGATCCAAACAGTTATCACTTTCCTCATTCAGCTGATGAAGTTCACTGCCCTCTTCACAAGCTACTTGTACACCAGTATCAACTTCAACAACTTCAGGACTTGCTACCATATCAGAAGCTTTCTTTGGGAATTCCTCCAAGCTGATATGTTCCTCTAAAGGTAATTCTATCCCTCTCTCAATTACAGAAAAGTCACTGCCTTCACATTCATTTTCAATTACTTCTTTATCAGAACCAGCCACTGGAGACGAAGGGGGCTCAAGATTTTCATTACCAAACCCTACACCAGAAGGAACTGATTGATTCATCTTTTCTTCATCGAATTTCTGAAATAGCACACTCACTGAAGTGGCTAGTTCTGACTGTGATGTTGGCAGAATTTCATGAAGTTCTTTTATGTCCTCCATGAACTGTGATGAAGCACTTGATTGCTGATTAGTGATAGCAGGAAGACTTCCAGCACGCCTCATTGAGCCCTGGCCACCACCTTGATCAGATTTATTGACTGCTTTCACAACATCAAGATCGTTCTCCTTTGCTTTTAACACTTCAGCAGCATTCTGCTTAGTTCCAGGGGGAATAAAATGATCCCCAATTACCAGATATCCAAAACTAACATTCATGGTCGCACCTTTGGCCTTTCCTGACAACCTAAAACTTGTTGTCCACTTCCCGGAGCTCTTTTCATCCTGCAATTCCTCCAGCGTGAGAGGAAGCAACCTCGTAAGATCAACCCGATGCTTCCCCAAATCAAGCTCTGGTCCTCCGTTTACAGCAGCATACAGCAAGAAGTGCTTTGCCTCATACTTGGCTGAATGGTGAGGTCCGCTCCTACTTCCATGAACCAAGCATGAGTGCGTCAACTTCTCCTCAAATTCAGCCGTCCCATTAAGAACCTTCACTGGACGAGTTACTAAACCCCCATCCCGCCTCTTCCAGTGCACACGAATACTAACGCCATTGAAACTAGGAGGCAATCCCTCGATGGAGTGGACTTGAAGGGTGAAACAACAGTTAAACCTCCGGTTACGTACTTGTGAAAAAGCTCTCAAGGGCCAATTCCAAATGGATTTCTTGTCCTTTCGAGATGGGTCCTCATTTCCATACTTACCATTACGCTCGGATTTGGGTTCAGGAAAACGGGCTTTTCCTGTTGATTTTGACCGTGAACTAGGGGAAGCAATTGCTTTCCGTGCAGCGGTTTTGTCCAAATACAGAGCTTTGCTTATAGCTTCTATTTCATTCAACAACCTCCTATTACCAGAATCGTCACCTATCTTCTTCCCAGAGTCAACTTTTGACAACATCATCTTTTATTTCAAGCTAAAAACCAAACCCAAACACAGAATCTCTAATCAGATTAACTAAAGCTCCTCTATATAAATCAAATAAATACAAAAACGGAAGATTCAATGTTACAGCACAATCCTTCTCTTCTCTGCCTTTGCAACGCAAACACCAAAATAAAGAAGAAGAAGAAGAAGAAGAAGAAGGAAAAAAGGAAAACTAAAACATCCACAACCCAAAATTTGAATTACCGGTACTGGAATAAAATTTAAAAAAAAAATAAAGAGAAACCCTAAATTACTTCATCGAAAATATCGCCCCACCTTCTCTGACTCTCTCAATCTGAAATTCAAATTGCGACTTACGCATGAAAAGGAAGAGGGGTTCAAAAGAATTAAAAACAAAATACAAATAAACAAAAGATATCAACGAATAGATTTAAAATGAAACAAGATGAGAGAGATATCGGTATCTTACAGGGGCAGATTACTTGGCAAATTCTATCTGTGAAAATTACCGCTGCCTTTTTCTATCAACGCTTCAAACCAAGAGGGCTAGTCAATACGAAGTATTTGACGATTGGTGCCCCTCCATTTTTGAACAAATACGATCTCCTGAACACTGTTTCGTCCTATGTTATTCTTTACCCAACATTTGCAAGATTATTATCTTAATCTCCCCCTCGGCTCTTGTCTATATTTTGAGGTTAAATTACATTTTTAGAAGAAAAAATATTTAAAAAAAAAAGATATTTACAGATATAAAATATTATTTTGTTAACTAAAATAAGATATTAGATAAGTTGGCAGATACGTTGAATTTATTTTATGGTTGACTTAATTTTTATAATTTTAATATTAAAAATATTTATTACTATGTTTTTAATTTAATATAGTTATGTTAAATAGACTTATGTAATGTATGTATTAAATATTTTCTTTAATAAATTATATAATTAATTAATTATGTTTTAAATTTTAAATAAAAATTTATATATTTTAATAATTAAATAATACTTTTATAATAATAAATACATTTATCACATCATTTTAAAAAAAAAATTAAAAAAAATATTTATTTGATCAAATTTCTAGAGTTAATTATAGATGTCAAAATAAAATTTTAAAATAAATATTTAAATAAAATATATATATTAATTAACACAAAGAGTTTATAAAGCTTGATTAAAAAAATAAATAAATAATAAAGAGTGCAAACTTATTAAATTCCCTTGCAATTTAAAAACAAGCTTCTAAATAGTGGCATTAAAAGCTTGCACTCACATGATTACAAGTACCTTACAATGCACAAACGAATGTGATAAATGCATTTATTATAATATTTTTTTAAAAAAATTCAAAATATCATTTTTGTCTACAAGTATATATTCTTAGAAGTCATTTTGATATTAAAGATTTTAGTGAGGCATAATTTATCTTAGGTATGAAAATTACAAAACCATGTGATGACATTTTTCTCTATTAGTCTCATGATATAAAAAATATTTTGAAAAAAAATATAATTACATTGATCATAAGCATGTAGTCCATTTTCTAGTAACTAAATTATGTAATATTTAGAAGGTTTATTAACTAAGGAGATTGTTAAGAAAAAGAATTTGTAACATATTTTGGGGATATGATTGGAATTAATAGAATTATGAGGGACTTACTTTTTTCTTTACATTTTGTTGGAAAAAAAAAAAAAGTATCATGTAGGAAAATATTATTTATTTATATATGACGTGAGTTATTTTTATTGTGATACTTGAGAATTAAATTTTATTTAAAAAATACTTAATAAAATCTATAATTTATATGAATAGTATGTCACAGTTGAAATAATAATGTTTCTTACAGATTTTATGTTTCTTATAGATTTTACCTCTATGATTGTAAAATAAAATTTATTCTTGAGAAAATTAAATTTATTTTCAAATACACTTGTGAAAACTAGAGAAGTATAAAGGTCACATGTGTAAGTTAATAAAGCTCATGTTAACATCTAAATTGTTAAGTAAGAGATAATATAATTATAAAATAATTATTGATTCTAATTAATTATTATTATTTTATCAGTAAATATTCAATATAAAATCACATCTTCATAAAGTATATTAACTTTTTTCTTTATTCAATAAACTCTCCTTTACATAGTTTTTTTTTATTATTAAAAATGAAGGAAAAATGTTATTATATTTTTGATATTGGAAATATTTATTGTATTATTTTTTTTAATTTAATGTAATAATAATAAACAAATTTCTTTAAACTACCTATTAAATATTGTTATCATTATATATCAATAAATTCCAATATTTATGAATTTTAAAAACGTCTTAGTAGGATTTTTGGAGAAAAATAATAAGAAAATATTCTTAAATTCTTTAATTTTATGCTGGAATTGTTTGGTAAACTATTTTCTTGTTTTTCAATTTCACATAATCATATTTTTGACCTTTTTTTTTTTTTAAAAAATATATTTTTGGCGAAGATAGATTCCTTGCTCCAAATTTAATGAATTAATTAATGAAAAGCGATTACGAGATTATAGATTTGGAATTTTGACTATTAAAATATAATTTAAAATGAAACAAACTTGAACATAGATTATATATTATTAAGAAATAGAGGCTTAAAGAGCCTCAGGTCATCTACCCAAAAAATGTGGTAAAATACCAAATACTAAAAGATTCAAGGAAAAAAAAAATCCATTATGATTTAAAATGAGTTATATACAAAGTATTATGCTTTCTTCCAAATATTTTCAAAAATATATATTGAAAATTGCCAGGCCGAAAACGGCGCGGATCATTAATAATTAAACATTATATTATACATGCATCACGCCAATCTCATGAATTATTCAAAATCAAATCAAGCAAACGTGGGCCCACCACGAATTTCAAAATGACGCGCCCACCATTAGACTCTTGATTTATTTATTGAATAGAAATAAAACAAATTCTTTTATAAAAACACATTCTGCATGAATGTTCATCCAAATATCAATTTTTATCATTTGAATAAATGATGATTAGTAAGAATTTATTAAAAACTATAGTAATTATTCAATTAAAAAAAGTAACTAGTCAGATTGTGCATGAATATTCAAAAATTAAAATGTATACTAGCTAAATTATGTATGAATATTTAAAAATTAATAATTTCTATAGTTCGTTTGAATGAATATAACTGTTAAGAATTTTATTTTAAAAATGCTTGTAATAACTCTAATTCAATTAAAAAAAGTAACGATTGTGCATGAACTCAAAAAATTAACTTTTACTTTTGAATAAATAATTATTACAAGATATTTTTACTTTTAAAAACATGTGAGTTATTATTTAATAAAAATTGATGAGACATGTATAGGGATGAATTTCATGATCCTTTATAAAAAAAAAAAAAAAAAACGTAATTCAATAAGTTAGCTTTCTATATATTATATATATAATTCAATAATTTTTCTGAATTCTTGTTTGTGGGCCCAGGTACTAGGTGCTTATTGGTAATTTTCACCCATATGGAGCTCCTACTTGTACAAGTCGGGCTAACTATATATCTCTACAATTCTCAATTCTCTCATGTTTAATCAAAATATCTCCTGTAACATATAAACATATTCAATTTATTACCATTAACTTGAATTGACTGTATAGAAATTAAAAAATTTGTAATCTAATTTTCAACACATCTTGTGTTACCATATACTTAAATTCTTATATTTATTAGCATCAAAACCACGATTTCTAGATTTTTAAATTATGTGTATATATAAAATAAACACAACTAAACCCAAAGTGACCATTATTTATGTTCAAAATTCACATTTTAAACTTTGGATTTATGCACGCCATTGATATGAACATTTATATGGTAGACACTGAATCAAAAAATCTTTGTTTACATAAAATTATAACTCAATTATTTTTTTAAACATTCTATTCGATTAAATCATTCAAAAATTATTAAGGATTAATGCATAAATTATAATTTATTTATTTATTAATTTATAGTCAAATAGAATTTATCTTTTAATTAGACTTGGTTCATGCTTATCTTTTAAATTCATATAATTAATGAAGTTTATTTTTAAAAGATTTAATTCATGTTTATCTTTTAGATATCATGCAGTTAGTGGGAGCTTATTTTTTTTCGAGATTTGTTCATATGTAAGTCTATTTAAAGACATATTTAGTTGTCAATTTTGAGTTAATTGAAATTCAAGTTTTCTTCACTAAGAAAAACTCCAACAATTGATATTAGAGTCTTTCTTATTCATGGGTCTATGAGAATAAAAAAATAGAGAGAAAATAAATGAATCCCTTACATTAAATATAGTACCAAACACTTCTCTTTTAGCTTCACCTCCAATTTTCATCTGGAAAATTTATCAATTATGGGTTGTTAAAATACAAACATATTTGCAATTTTTTTTTTTAAATTTGTGGGATGTGATTAAAAATGATGGTGAACTCTCACTATTACCATTTCATTCAACTATACCTCAAGTAAAGAGTCACAATAAAGAATCCAAGAAGTTCAAATAAAAAACTTGTATGTACTATTCAGTTTTTGAAGTGATTTTCACTAATGTCATGACTTGTGAAACTCCAAAAGAAATATAAAATTTACTTAAAACTGAGTATTTAAGTAATAAGCAAACCAAATTGATGCATGTTTTCGATCTTAAGAGAGAATTTGAGATTCAAAAGACGAAGGAATGGGAAAGAATCAATGAGTATATTAATAAGCTCATGATAACTGTTAACAAAATTAAATTGTTTGGTGAAGTGTTTTTAGACAATAGAATTGTTGAAAAAAAATTCTTGTAAGCTTGCCTAAAAAGTTTGAGTCAAACATTTCATCACTTAAAGATTCCAAGAAACTCTCAAAAATTACAGTTGTAGAATTAATCAACACTTTACAAGCCATGGAGCAGAGAAGAGGAATGAGAGATGAAAACATAATGGAGGGAGCCTTCATCGCTAAGACACCAAACAAGTCTTCATCAACATCAGAAAAGCAAAAATTTTCACCATGCAGAGTATGCAAGAAAGAGAACCATGATGAGAAAGATTATTGGCGTAACGATAAACTACAGTGCTTTAATTGTAAAAGATTTGGGTATATACAAAAAATTACAGGTTTAATAATAAGTAAGCAAATTTTTGTCAAGAATGAGAGTCTCTTTTTGAAAACTAAAGAGAAGTGTTCCAAGAAAATTAATAACAAATTTTGGTGAGAAGTACATCAATAATTGGAGATTAGTAAGAAGTGAATCAATAATTAGAGATTGGTAAAAAATACATCAATAATAAAAGATAAATGCTTCAAATATAAAGATTAAACAAGACATATTGGAGAGAGGTGCTCCAATAAGACAAATTTGATATTTATAATTTCTACATTATGTGAGAATACTAAATTGTATAGGAATATCTAAAGACTAATTTTTATCATTTGTATAAGTTATGATTAGTAGGAATTCTTTAAAAAAAATGGAGTAATAATTCAAGTAGAAAAATCAGTGCGGGCCAGATTGTGCATGAACTCAAAAATTAACTTTTACTTTTGAATAAATGATTATTACGAGATATTTTTTAAAACATGAGTAATTATTTAATAAAAAAATTGATTAGACATTTATATAAATTTCATGATGCTTTCTA